ACGAGAATTGATGTAAACAAACACAAGAAATTGTAGTTTAAAAAGCATTTAGAATGAATATCATGTGTGATTCTTGTGGGAATAAAGCGTATGAATAAGGTATGGTAATATAATTCTACAATTTCTTCGTTAAATTAAAGCGGGGAGGGTGTTTACTTGCCGATCAGCCTTTCATCTGTCGTTCGTAACAAAAAAGATGCAAAAGTTCAACACTACGCCGCTTATATTTGAACTTAATTTTTGTTTCTATCTAAAGTTCTTTTTCTTTTCTGTTTGGAATCATATGGTTTACGGGAATTGATGCGTTTTTGTCGATGTTATGAACAAAATATAAAGATTTTGGGAAGGTTTCGTCCGAAATTGTTGAATAATTATTTCTATAGGAGGACAGCAGGAATCTAGCAGCACTTTTTATGGTACAGAGATGTTTTTACATAAATATTGATATAAATTGGAACTAATTATCCCCGGGGTAGTGTTAAACTTTTCACTTCTTCATTAAGGCATATTTTCTAATTATAGACGTCACGTGGTGACGTCGTGGTGAAGTGCACGTGCCTCCTGTAGTATAAGTCACATTGAAGTCTACAGAATGCATAATTATAGTAAAAGTTTTATCATTGACTTTTCCGATTTATTGGTACTACATAATTATAAAAAAAAGTGTTAATTCGCCAAATTCTGGTCCATGTGCTGCCTTAACATACCCGCGAAGCATTCGATTATTTAAAACATGCAGCAATTAAAACTTTCTAGACTTAAGAAATATTAATAATTAAGACATTTTCTCTTCAGACAGTAAAGATTGCGTAGGGGGAGTCGTTTCTGGAAAAACAAAACGCATGGGGGAGTCACAAAATAATTATATAAAGTCCATTTAATGCATTTATTTATTTTTTTTAACTGCCAATATCTTTTTTTTAGATATCTATAAATCGATGTTTGGTTAATTTCTTTTATAATTTGAAGTTTTGATATGAGATTTTTTTCTGTAGGTTTATCACATCTAGAAAAACAAAAAATCAGAAGTATACATGTACATGTACAACTCAATTATATATCTTCGAAGCATATGTGCTTCAGAGCAAGACCCTCCCCTCAATATGTATTTTTCTTATATCACAAAAATTTAAAAATACAAACCCTCTCTTCCATCAATGACATCCTCTCCATATAGAAGAAAAACAAGATTTATGATATGGAAATTTTTTTAATAATATCGACCATTTTTTTTAGCAAGGGAACGCTCTAGTGTGTCAGTCCCACCCATTGCCTTTCTTCTTGGAGGGTGAAAATTTTCAAAATTGTATTTTTTCTCAGTTTGGTCAACAGATAACATTTATAATTAAATAATTTATCTATGACATAAAGTAACACGTCATAAGGCTAAATGAGAATATTATGGATAATCTGGGGGTAAATACACATATATTAGCATACTTAGGAAGAATGCTGAAGACAGGATTGCAAAGCATATATCCCGAAGCGCTGAAAAATGTCTACTTTATGATAAATAAAAGCAGAAGTGAAAAAATAATTTGCCTCCGCAAGTAAGTTAACGCAGTGTATAGAAGTTTCTATGCAATTGATTAACTAAAACGCATAAGAGATGAACTTATTACACAGAAAAAGTTCAAACTTGTTTTCTTATATAAACTTGGTACCCAAGCATTAACATTACGTCATGTAGTCCTGTACTACACAAGTTTATAAGGAACATCAACAAAATAGTTTCGACGCAAGGGTATGCTCAACTTTGTTCTTCAGAAACAAGGTATTATTAGACGCAAAATATTACAAGTATTTGTGATATTGCTGCACGAATGTCGACAGTATTATTATATAGTTACTTTTTAAAAGTTTTAAGTTGAAACAGGGTTAAATGCACTGTCCAGTGTAAGTTTCGCGAAATTTTTATAAATCAAAAAAGCGAGTAAAAGGTGAGTCACTATTCATAATTTCGCATCAAAACCCACGAATTAATCTTGTCTTTGAAGTGTTCTATCTAATAGGTGTGATAGCGTTGACATGGACATTTACTCAACTCAATATCCTAGACAGCGGGATAATTGAATTGCGCGGATATTGATTTGATAGAAAAAAAACGCTATTTCCGAAATTCATTCAATTAAGATTAAATGTAAATAAAATTGCAATAAACTTTACATACAAAGGAGATAAAGAATACTTGATACTAAAATTTCGTATTTGAACGGGAGAATCGAAAGTTATTGACAAAAAGTGAAGAAATACCCAATACAAGCTTTAATTAAGTTTTATGCTCATCAGCAACTACATTTCAGACAGAAAAAATGTAGTTGTTGCTGATACTCATTAGAATTTCATTATATACTTCAGAGACTCACTGTTACACACTCAGGACACTTTCTTTGATGTGTCCTCTAATGTAATCCTTAAATATCATGTCGATCTGTGCTGTCGTTTGAGTTGTAGAACATTTTTCTAGGTTCAGATCATATTGATTTTTTTTAAAAGAAAAAAAGGTAGGGGTATATAAGCATTTGTTAAAGTGAAAGATGTAAACACCTCCACAGACTCAAGCTTGATTGTAACCTTTGGGTCAATGGGTCAAAGGTTAATTTATCGAGGTCAAAAGCAAAGGTCATCCAAAAACCTTTCAATTCGACTTTAACACTTGAAGCTGTATCAAGCTAAATATAATAAAAAAGTTGACTCTTGGATGAGGGTCAAGGTCAAAAATCAAACTCAAAGGTCAAGGTCATGTGGCATATATAAGCAATTTAAATATTTTTCCAATGACCTTGACCTTCTGACCTTGGTGTAGTTTTATTTCTTATAATCGGAAGTTGTTTTTATTTTATTTTTTTTATTTTGGGTGGAGCTGACATACAGTGTATTTCAAAACTACTAATTAGATCGATAATGTAATGAAAAAAAATTTGGAAAGAAAAAGATGAAATTTTCGATTTTTTCAATCACACCCTGTGACCATCGGACGTGACTGCGGAAACATTTATCCCTATATCTGTTGTTCACTCTTCAAGGTTTATTATTCATATAAGTTTAGAGTCTTGAATTTTTACATATATTTGAAGTTACTCTAGACATTTGCAGTCTGAATAACAAATTCTGAAATAATTTAAAATACTCTTTCTATAAAAGATATTTATTGGATAGTATGATGCCCAATTCATGCAGTTTTTCTCTCATAACCGGAAGTTGCCGTTTTTGTTTCTGGTGGGACGGACATATATCAGAACAAAAAATAAAATGCAATATGTGATGTCGAGAAGTATTCCAAAATGAAAAGTTGGAATTTTTTATTTTTTTTTATCACTTCTTGTGACGACCGGAAGTGACGGCGACCAATCTTAACCCTAGTGAGTTTCCTTACTTATCAAGATCTATTACTTTTACAAGTTTGGCGCCTTCATCCCTTACTGTTCCCGAGATCTCTTTGTAATACATGTAACTACTCATATTTAGGACAGAAAATCACACGACCGGAAGTGAATTTTACAATGATATTTGTCCTTGCTGTAGACATTAGCAGTCAATATGATATATCTTAAAATCACTACAAATACTTTATCTATAAAAATATTTAAAGGAAAGAAAAATACTCAAATTATGCAGTTTATCTCTGATAACCGGAAGTTATCGCTTTTGTTTCAGGTGGGACAAATATATTTTGAAACTACAAATAAGATGCTATAATATGATGCAAAAAAAGTTTCAAAGAGAAAAGTTGAAATTTTCAATTTCTTTGATAACTTCATGCGACGACCGGAAGTGACAGTGGGGGATCTTAACCCAAATGAATTTGCCTACTTATAAAAATCTGTTACTCATATAAGTTTGGTGTCTTCATCTCTTACCGTTTCTGAGATATGATTCGGACAAAACTTTTTTGAAAAAAATTGGACATATCTGACGAACAGTAGTGAGTTTTTAAAAGCTCAAAACTGCATTTGAAATATATTTTTTTCTCTCTCTATCGTCCCTGAAAATTTCTTGAGAATCCATCCAGTCATCTCTGAGAAATTGTCAAAACAAAAAGGCAAAAAAATAATAATAATAATAACTAGAAACTCTTGTTGCTACAGCAACAAAAACGGCCCTCCGTTCTCCTCTACTGCATGAATGAAATTCTATCTATGATAAAAAAAAAACATATAATATTTACAATGATTACAGGAATACAATCGTCCAGAGGTGTAAATTACAAAGATTCTCGACGTTACTTTAGACAATTATAGTCTTAATAACATTTTAAAAAAACATTTTCAATTTTTTTTAACTTCCTGTGTCGACCAGAAGTGACAGCGGACGCATTTTACCCTATATCTGTTGCACAATTTTCATGGTTTATTATTCATATAAGTTAAGCTTCTTGATCTGTTACAGTTTAAGAGATCTCATAATATTAACTTCTCATTTTAGGGACAAAAAAATCACGTGACCAGAAGAAAATTAAAAAAAATGAGGTTACTGTAGGCATTTACAGTTTGAATAACATGTCCTAAAATCATATCAAATACTCCTTTCATAAAAGATATTTATGGGACAGTTTGATATTTAATTTATGCAGTTTTTCCTCTTATAAACAGAAGTTGTATCCAGTGGGGCTAACATATTTCGGAACTAAAATAATGATTTTTTAAAAAGATATTTCAAGTGACTGTAGACATTTGCAGTCTTAATAACATATAAAAATATCATAACAAATACTTTGTCTTCTAGTAGTATTTATGGGAAAGAAAAAAATGCTCAGATTATGTAGGTGGGACTTATATATGTTGAAACTAATATTAAGATGCTATATTGTGATGCAAAAAAAGTCCCCCCCCCCCCCTTAAAAAAAGTTGAGTTTTTGTATTTCTTTTATCACTTCCTGTAACGACCGGAAGTGACAGCGGATGATCTTATCCTAACTGTGCTTGCCTACTCATAAAGATTTACCATTTCATCACATGTAAGTTTGGTGTCTAATCACTTAGCGTTAACGAGATCTAGCCATGATAACTTCTCATGTTGCAGACAGGGAATCATGCGACCGGAAGTGAGTTTTGCAAATATATTTGACGTTACTGTAGACAGTGGTAGTCTGAATATCATTAAAAAATCATTGAAAATACTTCATGTATGAAAAATATTTATGGGAAAGAAAAATACTGAACATATGCAGTGTTTCTCTGATAACCGGAAGTTGTCGTTTTTGTTTCCGGTGGGACTGATATATTTCGAAACTACAGATAAGATGCTATTATGTGGTGCAAAAAAAATCATAGAAAATAGAAAAGTTGAAATTTCTTTGATCACTTCCTGTGACGACTGGAAGTGACGGCGAACCCAAATGGATTATCCTACTTGTCAAGATCTATACAAATTTCTCAACAACCCTATTTAATTCTACAATTAATCAAAGCCAAAATTCGTTCAGCACCCTCAGTTCCGTGGTGGATGACAACAGTTTTGGATCTCCTACAGCCACGTCATCCCCTAAAAAGACACCTCGACTTCCAGACAGATCAAACAGAGTTGATCTCCCTATGTGGATATTGGTCTTGAATTGCCAGTCTGTTAGGGATGGATCCAAAACAGGTTAGTTGCTTAAAATACTGGAATCATCTCAAGCAGACATTATACTTGGCACAGAATCATGGCTAGACAGTGGAATAAAGTCTGAAGAGGTATTTCCGGACAACTTCAAACACTATCGGAAAGACAGATCAGATGGTAAACGGGGTGGTGGTGTATTCATTCTTGTGGCAGATAAGTATATCAGTAGTATGCCGGAGGAACTGAAAGTGGAAGGAGCTCATGAACTTCTCTGGGTCAAGGTCAAAGTGAAAAGTGTCCCAGACCTATATGTTGGCTTATTCTATCGCCCTCCTACTGCCGCAGATAGTGGATACTTGGAGGTCCTCCGCCAGTCCCTGACCCGCATTCCTAGTAGTGCCCACATATGGTTAGGTGGTGACTTTAACCTACCGGATATGGACTGGTCAACAGATAGCCTACAGCCTAGTGGATCAAACATCACTCTGTGCAACCAACTGATCACTATAGCCAGTGACTTTTCCTTTAATCAGATGGTGCACGAACCAACTCGAACGACAGAGACCACATCAAACATATTGGACTTATTCTTCACGAATAACCACACTTTGATCAACAAATATGATGTGATATCTGGCATCCCTGACCACGAAGCAGTGTACGTGGAATCCAGCTTGCGTGCAGTACGACCAAAGAGACCTCCCAGGAAAGTCTTCATGTACAGCAAGGCAGATCTAGAAAATTTTAGGCATGATCTAAAAACCTTCTGCAGTACATATACCAAGGCTATATCAGAGTTGTCAGTAGATAGTTGTTGGGAACTCTTCAAGGACACCCTTCTAGGTGTACTGGAAAAGCACATCCCATCAAAGCTGATGTCAGGAAACAAGGTTCACAAGCCATGGATCACGAAAGAGGTAAAACGCAAGATGCGTAAGCGAAACAAGCTTTTTACAAAACAGAAGTTGAAGGAATCAAGTAAGATCAGAGATAAATACCTACAGGCGAAATCTGAAGCACAAACAGCTGTAAGGAAAGCATAGTGGGACTATGTGAACAACATTATTGAAGTTGGTAACGCAGAGTCTGATACGCAGCCAAATAAACAAATACGCTTCTGGAGGTTTGTGAATGCCATGAGGAAGGACAGCAATGGAGTGTCACCACTAAAGGACAGAGGAGTACTACATTCTGATGTAAAAGACAAGGCGGATATTCTGAATCGCCAGTACGAGTCTATATTTCCTAGAGAGGATACCTAGAATATCCCCATGCCTCATAGTACACCATCCCCACTAATGCCTGACATTAAAATCTCAAAGGAAGGAGTCTGCAAGCTACAGAGGAAGCTAAATCCTAACAAGGCCTCAGGACCTGATTCCATACCAGCCAGAGTTCTGAAGGACATGTCAGCTGGGATTGCTCCACTCCTTATTCAACTGTTCTGTAAAGCTTGTCTGAGGGCATCGTACCAAATGACTGGAGAAAGGCCAATATAACAGCTATTTTCAAAAAAGGTGAGAGATTCAAAGCCTGAAATTACCGGCCAGTTTCCTTAACATGCATATGCTGCAAGCTGTTAGAGCACATATTGGTCAGTAACATCATGACTCACATGAATAGATACAGCATATTATCAGATGTGCAGCATGGCTTCCTGGCACGAAGGAGCTGTGAAACCCAATTACTCCAACTCACATTATTTGATGACCTGGCAAGAGCATGGGACAAAGGTTTCCAACATGACATGGTTGTATTAGACTTAAGCACGGCTTTTGACCGCGTCCCACATGAAAGACTTCTCATGAAGCTACACCACAGTGGAATCCGCGGTAACACTCATGTATGGATCCGCTCTTTCTTGACCGGGAGATCCCAGCAAGTGGTGGTGGAAGGAGCCACATCAGAGCCCGCACCTGTCATCAGCGGAGTCCCACAAGGGAGTCGCAGGTAGGTTAAGATTACAACCAAATATTCTACTTGCCTATATGATATAATATCATAGTAAGCTATATGACGTGAAGTTAAGAGATAACAATTTCTTATAATCTATATCTAAGATTGATTTGAGGTTGTAAAAATTAATCAAAATATGCAGAGGCATAATATAAAGGGAATTTTGTCGTTTCTGGGTCTCTGTAGTTATCACAGAGGTTAAATACCAAACCCGTGACGTCATAACTGTTGATCATGCAGAAGCAGAGTGAAAGTGAAACGTAACGAGTATTCATGTGAACAAACGCAATAAATCGGAGTTTAAAAGCATTTAGAATGAATATCATGTGTGATTCATGTGGGAATAAAGCTTATGAATAAGGTATGCTAATATATTTCTACAATTTCTTCGTAAAATTAAAGCAGGGAGGGTGTTTACTTGAAGATCAACCTTTCCTCTGTCGTTCGTAACAAATAACATGCAAAAGTTCAACACTAAGCCGCACACTTTGAAAGTTAATTTTTGTTTCTATCTAAAGTTCTTATTCTAATGATTTTTGAAATAGCTGCTAGAATCGTATGGTTTACGGGAATTAATGCATTTCTTTCGATGTTATGAACAAAATGTAAAAATTTTGGGAAGGTTTCGTCAGAAAGTGTTGAATAATTATTTCTGTGATAGGACAGTAGGATTCTAGCAGCACTTTTCATGGTACAGAGATGTTTTTACATAATTATTATTACAAATTGAAATTAATTGTCCACGGGGTAGTGTTGAACTTTTCACTTTTTCATTTAGGCATATTTTCTAATTATTGACGTCACGTGGTGACGTCGTGGTAAAGTGCTTAATGTAGTAAACGTTCCATTGGAGTCTAAAGAATGCTTAATTATAACAAAAGTTTTAAGCTTGACTTTTCCGATTTATTAGTGTTACATAATTATAAAAAAAGTGTTAATTTGCCGAATTCTGGTCCATATGCTGCCTTAACTTACCCGCGGTGTGCTTGGGCCTGTGCTCTTCCTCATCTTCATGACCTGCCATCATGTGTCAATAGCAATGTGAGATTATTTGCTGATGACTGTGCCCATTATCGCCAGATACACAGTCGGGAGGACTGCGAACAACTCCAACAAGACCTACACCACCTAGAGGAGTGGGACAAAACGTGGGAAATGGATTTCCATCCAGACAAGTGTAACACCATGGTGTTCACCAGATTCCGCAACCCGCAGCTCTACAGCTACTCACTGAAAGGTCAGATGTTGGAAAATGTAGAGACCACCAAGTACTTAAGGGTATGGATAACTACCAACTTGTCATGGAGGGTCCATATTGATAAGACAGTTAAGAAGGCGAACTCTACTCTTGGCTTCTTACGTAGGAACCTCAATATCAACAATGAGAAGACCAAGAAAGAGGCATACGGGACTGTTCAATAAATAATGTCTTCGGTGCTCGGAAAGAAGCAAAAGACGCTTTTCAATGATTTAGTCTTCAGATTTTACTTGTTAATCTCTTTTGATTTAAATACATGTCCGTAACATTTTTTATCCAATTTCTGATTGTTTTTAGAACTTATTTTTGGGTACGACCCTTAGTATACTGGAAAATGGCAGATACCTATGATTTCGTGGGCATTTTTCTTCCTTCTGAAAGGTGTTTTGTCAAGTTTGGAAATAGAAAAAAGTCAAAAGGTCAAATATCTGGCGAATATTGTTAATGTAAAAAAAACATTAACTTTCTGTTTATCACGAAAAATCCCTTATCTCTTCAGGGCATGCGGGTTTGGAGGCTGTCTTGAAGAAATCTAATGTAATGGATTCCTGATTCTGGGTCCTTCCTCTAATAAACCTTTTGATTTTTTGGCCAAAAAAAGTGCTTTCTAGACGCATCCAGATATTAAACTGTCTCTCACAATACGATTTTAAACAACAATACCGCTAATGTTTAAGAAAATTACATATAAATCTGTCTTTGTGATCTTGCATACCTGTGCACTTGTCATACATTCGCCGTTTTTATCAAGTACATCTTATGGTAAATTTTGTTTTTAGGGTTTTAAGCAATAGATACATGTTCCAATATCTGTTTGAAAATAGAACAAACGTGGATAACTACAATTACTGATATTTTAAAATAATTGTTAAGAATTTTGTACACACTGTCATTTTCACTCATTTTGCAAAAAATAGGGTGACCTTTGAGTATCAAGCTTTTTTACCGTCAAACGTTTCTTAAATACAGTGTAAACTATCCCCGATGTGATGTCTATCAACTTTTCTATGTGTGTTAAAGTCAATCATATATCATCAAATATTATTTTTTTGAAATTTGGCGAACAGTACATAAGTTGTTATAATTTTTGTTGGCAAGGAGGGTACCTATTTTTAATGCCCATTATATAATTTTTAATTTTTTGAAATCCACCTGCTCTTTTGTCTATAAAACAGGCATTGGTTGCTGTAAATGTAACATATTTCAGTAAATATTTCTTTTGGAGTTTTAACAAGTTTTACGGCAGCTTTAATGAAGCTTTGATTTTCACTCTAGTTTACTGAATCTTTACCATTCATTTATAATGCAGTCTCTCGAAAAGCCCTTGTTTCCCAGCTTCTCACAATGAAACTATGTAATGAAAAGTGGTCACATAAACTGTTATAAATTCATAAAGGATTTAATAATGAGAGAAAGTCAAGTTTAATGTCATATGATATCTGTAATGTATGTCATATAGTTCAGGACATTATTTATTGAACAGCCCTCGTATATGGCACTAGTTCAGCCCACATTGGAGTACTGTGCCTCAGTATGGAATCCCCACACAAAGGATCACATCCACCGACTTGAAATGGTCCAGAGTAGAACTGCTTGGTACGTCACAAATAGATACAGGAATACCAGCAGTGTTACAGACATGCTAGACAGTCTCCAGTGGGAATCCTTAGAGAGCCGTAGGACCAAGGCACAGCTCGCCATGTTTTATAAGGCATGGAAAGGCCTGGTAGATATCCCGCTATCTCAGTATATCACTCCATCATCAAGTCGAACCAGATCCACCCATTCCTACAGATTCCAGCATCATCAGTGCAGAACCAATTGCAACATCTATAAGTTCAGTTTCTTCCCCAGGACTATCATAACCTGGAACACTTTACCAACATCTGTTGCTGAGGCCCCTGACTTGGTACCCTTCAAGCAGGGGCTTACATCACTTTCCTTCTACATGGCTCAGGGAGCAAGTAAGCTCTAGTGAAGTTAGTAGGCAATGCCGGGGAGACCTCTACTAATAAGTCTCAGGGCCGCTACGGTTACCGGACTGGCTGCTGACAGAAGAGCTGAAAACTTCCTTCTTTTAACTTTTAACCGTTTTTACATTTTAATCTTTCTAATAATGTTGTTAAAGCGCTGCGCCGTTGAGTAATCGTCAAAGATGACGGACCAACGTACCATGTAGATGTAGATTACTCATATAAGTTTGGTGTCTTTATTTTTACTGTTTCTGAGATCAGGGATGGGGTAATTGAATGAAACAATTGTAATCAAGTGTAATTAATTCATTTTTTTGAAAGTAATTGGAAGTAATTTGTATTTGAGCTAGCCTTCAATTACAAGAATTCTCAAGAGGGACGTTTAACAATATACAAACAATCAATCAATCAATTACAAGTTATAGAATGTATTTTAATACATTTCAAAAAAGGTCATGAATTTTCAATTACTTTCCAATTACATTTCAATTACTTTTTTTTCAAAATGAAAGTTTTTATTTAAAAAGGTGTCCTTAACTGATACATAGTTTTATACTGGTGGAGTTACATAACTAAAATATTCCCATGTTTTATAAATCTCAGTTCTCCCTATTCTCACTTGAAAATAACAATGGTTGTTTAGATAGATAATTTGTTTTACAGCAGTTAGACTAACTACATCCCCTTTTACATTTACCTGTATTCTATTCATTTTAAGATAGAAAAAAATAATGAATGGAATCGTGATAGATATATTTATTTCCTTATGGATTTGAGAAAGTAACAAAAAGGCCTTGCCATACACCATACTGGTGAAGCATGGGCTTGTGTTTGTACAATAATAAATTGTCTCATAATGTTTAATTTGTTTATATAGTGTGTCACACTCATTATAAGGACTAATTTTGACCAGGTGTGAACCCCTATCATACCCAAGAACAAAAACACTTAATGAAAGGAAAATCTTATTTAAAAAATATATATATTTTTTTAATAAAAATAAAACTGGAAGTAATTGAAATGTATTTAATTACATTTGTCAAAGTAATTGAAAGTGATTTATTACATTTGAAAA